AAATACAGCTACATTCATTTCATTCATTCATGATTGCTACAACAGTAAGTCACATAATTAAATACATTGTTCTTGAAACCCTTTTGTCCAAATGCCTAAATGATTAGAAATTGTCAACAATAAATAATCACTCTTGACACAGTTAACCTATAATTAAAATATAACAAACACTGTCAAAACCAGGTAAATAATCCAATTAAATACACTACATGAATCGAAATTCCTATGATACTAGTTTTGTTAACCTTACAAGTTCATCAAGAGAATTTTAAGAGCATTACTGACCATGTCAGTTACCGATCACATTAAGATACTGCAAGCAACCATTTGTTATCTATCTTAGTTGCTGAATAGAGGATTTGCTATGCTTGCTACTGTCCCTCTAAGAGAAACTCATACAATGTATAGAATGGATGACCTAGTAAAAATACTTTTAGCCCATGTTTAAGTCTTCAGATCTGTCTGATTTTCTTAATACAAAAGGCAGTCTATTATACAATTTAATACCCATATTGATAACAGTTTTCTTAAAAGCTGATGTGTTACAATTTGGCACATGAAAATAGTCTCTCCTTCTAGTATTATATTCATATAAATCTGAATTTCTCATAAAGAATAAGTTATATTCCTGAAAATAGCAAAACACCTCAAAGATATACAAGGAGGTAACAGTTAAAATCTTTAATTCTTTAAAAATGGTCTGCATGATGTTCTGCTATTTACACCTTTCATTATACAAAGTATCCTTTTTTGTATTTTCAGTACTTTTTTTTTTCTTTCTCCACCCCAAAAAATCAAACTGTAACTTACTAAGGACTGAAATTTGGCAAAGTAAATATTCCTAAGCATATTTATAAACTCAGTATATCTTATAATGATTTAATAATGTAACATGCCTTATTCAGTTGCAGACATAAGGACTGAATACGTGAGCTTCATTCTAGATTATGTGTTACATTGGTACCTAAAAATCTGAACTGCGATGTGTCATTAATTTTTATATTTTTGAAAGTAATAACTGGCTCAGACATGTCATACAGTTTATTTAATTGGAATATCATTGCTTTGGTCTTATCAGTATTTATAAGCAGGTTATTTTTTTTGAAAACCAAGATTCTAGCTGAATCATCAAACTTTTTATTTTTTCTTGGAGAGTAATTTTATTCTTATCTGTTACCAGTATATTGGCATCACCTGCAAAAAGAACAACTACTCCATGTGATATATGATGGGGTAAATCATTTATATATAATAAAATAAAGAGCAGCCCCAAAATATACCCTTGAGGTATTTCAAGTTTTATATTCCTCAGTGTAAAATTGTATCTATTCATAGAATGTTTATTGTCATTAGAGGGTATTTCTACATACTGAGAACGCAGTGTGAGAAAGGATTTTAACTAAACATTAATTTTTCCTCTTATTCCATAGTGATCTAATTTTTCAAGAAGTATATCATGATCAATATCATCATACACTTTTGTGAGATCAAAAATATACCAACTGCAAATGACCGCCTGTCCAATGCTTCCTGTACATTCCCAATAAAGGACTGACATGCAGATATGGTCAACTTATTTTTCTGGAACCCATATTTATTTTCCATTAAAATATGAAATTTAATAATAAAATATCCCAATCAGTTATACACTTTTTTTTTACATTTTGAGAATATAGATATATATCTGTAATTACTAATTTCATGTCCATTACCCTTTTTATAAACAGGAGTAATTTTTGCAATTTTCAGTAAATCTGGATATACACCCTGACCTATGGATTCATTAAATATGGAAGTGTTTTTTTTATATATGATACATGCTTTTACTAGACAGTCAGGGATTTAATCAAATCCTGCAGAAACTTTGCCTTTTAATTTGGATGCTACTGAACTATTTTTTCCTCAGAAATCAAAAAGAAATACACAGATTTTGGATTGCAGTCCGCTACTTTCTGTAATGATCTACCACCACCTTTACTCCTATATTCCCATTTCTCCACTAGTTCTTCTGCCTTATCAATAAAATAAGAATTTAATGTACCTGCCACCTTCTGAGGGTGAGTTATTTTCTTTAAATTATTTTGCAACAAAATATCTTGACATGATTTCCCCAAATTTCCCCTTTTTTATTAATTAACTGCCACATAATTTTAGTTGGGTTACATGCAGTAGGTAATGATAGAGGAAAAAACTATATGCTCAAAGGACATTCTGAAAATGAAATATTTTGTCTTGCCATCGCATGTTACCATATGACCCTGGTTGGACATGGCAGTTTGGACAAGGCACCAGCAAACAACCAATTTCAGATAGAGGTAACTGCCTTCAAATGTTGCTCTACCTCACAAGTTTGTATATCTGGTACACACTGTTCTGTCTTCTTGGATATAAAACCGCACAGTCTGATATAAGTCAACATATTTCAGAGGAACATGTCACCTCCATCTTCAAGGTTCAAAGAACAAAACAAGCAACAAATTAGTGTGAAGCAGGTAGCTGTGCTTGCTATCTGCTTCACTTACTTTTTCTTCTCTACATAAATGATCTATCTAAAACCATCAACAATAAATCTAAACCAATTCTATATGCAGATGACACTAGTATAATATTTAAGAACTCTAAATTTGAAAACTTTAAAAATGACATAAATATTGTATTTGAA